CTTCTCAAAAGGATGAGTTTCTAGCCAATCTGCACCTTCATGGTGGACCTCCCTTATTTTCTTCATTTTTTCTAAGAAAAATAGGGTTAGTAAAGGTGCCATCAACTTGGATTATTGGTAGACAATGGGTGAAACCATCAATGCATGGTTTGAATGCCCAAAATAGTCGATTAAACACGTGTTTAACACCCCCTCCAAAATCTTCGTAACTAGGCACAAAAACATACCCAAAATTCATGTCCACCATTGCAAGAATTAAACGAGGCAGGTTAGCAAATGACTCTTCCCAATCGCCATACACCTCCGCCATAGCTTTTTGCTTTCCATGCCATGCTTTATTGTAACTGATGGTCTAGCCATGTCGATTCTTCACTTCAGGGATGACACTCTTCACGGTGATCCCAGGTTGTGCCTCAATCAGATGTTTGATTGTTTGTGCAACCTTCCTTGCACTCAATTGTCGGTGATCTAGAAAAAATTAGCGACGACCTACAAGTGTGGTTGTTGTCTGTCTTACGAATGAGCCAAGCCCCATTTCTTTTAACATATGTCTCCCGAACATTGCCAAATACATTCGTCTCCATGGTTCTAGCAATGAACATGAATTTGTTTAGTATCGGAAGTGATGACACGATATTGAAAGCTTCTTCGCATAGCAGTTTCTTTCAATGCATCGACCACCTGAGGCTTTCCTCCAAATGTTTGGCAAACCACGAACCCAGAATCAGGAGTCCATATAGGTATAGGAGGAAGTTCAGGATCGTCGTTATGAGCATAGAGAGGATGTTGTGGCACCATCATGTAGTGAGGTGTGGGGGCTCCAATTCCCACCTCATCAACTCTCATATTTTCACCATCTGAACTACTCATTGATTCTAAATCTTCATCTTCCACGTCACTTGTCTCGCTAGTGTACAGAGGACTTGGTTTATCCACATATGGATCATTGTTGATGCCAGATGCTGGTGTGGATGCTTGTCTGGGTACCTGTCTGGGTGCCCTTATGTAATCCCATTCTTCACCCCATACTGGCCACTCATGTCCATCATGTTCCACCAATGGACCAGGTGCAATTAGATCCTCATATCTTGGCCATGGTACATCATTCAGAACTCTGAAATCTCCTGAACCGGAAATCCCTCCCAATCCTTCACCTTGTTCAGTATAACCGCCACCACCATATTGGCCAATAACTTCTGTATCGACATACACCTCAGCAATTGGAAATCTGTTTCCTGCAATAAATCTCACCATCATATTAATGTCATCATCGTCAGACAGAACTGATCCTTCATATACAAGTGCATAATCCTTGTAAACCGGCATACGGTAAGTCATCTTGCATACTCTTCGCCCTCCTATGCAACATCGTTCCGCACAAATGTGGCTGAGTTCTTGCCAAGTGAATATGCTCTCAATCCGAACAGTACTTGATTCACCATCTTCGTAGTCAATACTATTATGAAAATGTGTAATTCGACCATTCCACCGAATCAATAGGTCGAATTTTCAAAATTTTCTACCCATTTCTGCAGTTTATAGAAGTAGCCCATTACATACAGTTCAAACAATACTAAATTAATCCAAAATTCTAATGGTCATTCAACAACGTAAGCAGAACTTCAACTTACCTCCAAAATTTTTCTTCTTTGCTCAGCCTATTTGGCAAATAACCTGCAAGTCCGAATCCTTCCAAACCCTCCAAGCCTATTTGGCAAGCTATATATTTATCCAGAGTAGAACGAGCTGGCAATCTCCGAAAAGGGTTATCAGGATTCTTTGATACTGATGGTACCATTGGTATCGCTATGAAGAATCTACTACCTCAATTAAGTATTCGAGTAACGTCGACTTATCTTATTACCGTTCAATCTAAGACAGCGATGATAGCTTGTAGTGAACAACCCCTTTATGAAAGCAAGCAAAAGCAGCCTTTGGTACTCACCCTCTTTCAACCAATCAGCCCGAGATCTCTGCTTCCAGTATCGTACTTCACTACTAGTACATATGCCATCTCACTCTCAAGATGTCGGATTTGGCTTAATACTTTCGCCGTCTTTACTTCTCTATCCAGCGCACACAATGCTCTTTCAATTTTATTCTTATGATTCGAAAAGGTGGGGAATGCCTGCTCATTCCAGGTCTCCAACTTCGTGCAACAACGATCCATCTTCATAAATATATCCGAGGACCCATTTTCTTTCCAAACTTCTTCGATCACGCGAGGGAATTCCTCGTGTTTCATCTAGTGTGGCTCAAAACGGAACGACCATCCCCACTTGATTTCTACACCCTCCACACCACGAGTGTCACAAATAATCGGGTGATGGTCGGAACTAGCTGATGTTGCCAACTCTCATTAGCCACAAACCTATCCAACCCCTCCTCAATCAACCCACCTCGACTTCTTCTATTCTCCCACGTGTATGGATATTCATAAAAACCCAAGTCCTGGAGCCCCACTTCAGTAAGATAATCTCTGAAATTGCTCATGTCAACTTCATGAGCAGACCGTCCTCCACTTTTATCAACCAAATATTCTTAGCTATTAGTTATCATGATTCATAAAAAGGTTTGTTAAAATGATCATTTAGTTCTTAACAGAAATTTACAATTGTACTAAAAATGCTCTATCATTAACATGGAGTTACTATAACATTTTGTTGTGGCTAAGGACTCTCGCCATTAAAATAGCACCCTAACCATGTATTATCATAGGTCTTACACACTCAATGTTTGCCTGAGATTGTTAGTTCAAAGTTTCCCAAAAAAGAAAAAATATATCTTTGTTAATATTTATTTACCTAAGGTCTAGACTAATGTGAATATGTTTTAACCAAATTGTCAAAGTAAATAATCCTCCATTGAATTTTCTTTCATCCTCGTCAAACATACGCAACTCTAAACTAACCGTCGAAATCGGGCAGCTTCATTAGTACGATATTGTCAGCTTTGGGCCAAGCCCACACGGTTTTATTTTTTTGGGTGTCCTCCCCAAAAGGCCTCGTACTAATGTGCTTGATGAACAGTAATATACAAGGGTTCGTTCCCTTGTATTTCCGATATGGTACTTGGATTGTCCAATAACAATCCTCCCCTCAAGACAAGGACCATAAACTTTGTGTCCTCAGCTTAGCGATTATCTTGAACCGCCAAACCAGATGTAGATCACATTTGATCTATCAAACAGACGCGGACCTCTCTTGATTTGCCAAACAGACGTGGATCTCTCCTGGATCCACCAAACAAACGCAAATCTCAAATCCTAAGGTCACCGAATGAGGGTCCCACAAAAATGACGTCCAACACCCCGAACCAGGTTCTGATACCACTTGTCGCAGTCGGGCAGCTCGATTAGTACGATATTGTCCACTTTGGGCCAAGCTCGCACGGTTTTACTTTTGGGTATTCTCCCTAAAAGGCCTCGTATTAATGAGCTTGGTGGATACTAATATACAAGGGTTTCTTCCCTTATATTTCGATCTAGTACTTGGATTGTCCCATAACAATCCTCCCCTCAAAACAAGGACCACGAACTTTGTGTCCTCACCTCAGCGATTATCTTGATCCGCCAAACTTGTTGTAGATCACATTTGATCTACTAGACAGACGCGACCTCCCTTGATCTGCCAAACAGACGTGGATCTCTCCTGGATCCACCAAAATACACGCAGATCTCAAATCCTTAGACCACTGAATGAGGGTCCCACCAAACTAACGTCCACTACCTCGAACCAAGCTCTTATACCACTTGTCACAATCGGGCAACTCCATTAGTACAATATTCTCCTCTTTTGGACAAGCACACACGGTTTTACTTTTGGGTATCTTCCCCAAAAGGCCTCGTATTAATGAGTTTGGTGGACACTAATATATACAAGTGTTTCTTCCCTTGTATTTTCGATGTGGTACTTGGATTGTCCCATAACAATCCTCCCCTCAAGACAAGGACTACTAAACTCGACGGACGTACTATAGGGTATAGTATTTCAAAATGATGCATCAATTGTAAGATGTGATAATTTCGAAAGAATTAGTGGAATTACCTCATTTCTAAAATCCATCATTCATGGCATTGCAATATATTCTATAAGTGGTGGATAGATGCATAGAAGAGTTAAAACCACTTACTTCAATGCGTTAAACTCATTTGAAGAAATGTCTTATATTCAAATTTAATGACCGTAAGTTAGAACTACGAGCTCAGGATGGCAATGGGTTGGGTAGGGTTGGGTTGTGCCAAACCCAAACACATGGGTACATCTACCAAAAAACCCAAGATAAAATTCATTGGGTTTGGAAAGCTCAAACACAACCCAACCCAATGGGTATCCGCGGATTCATGGATATCCATGGGATCTGTAATAAAAAATGCACAATAACAAGTTCCTATCAAATAAAAGTCTAACATCAATCGTCTCATACAAAAAACATCAATCTATAGCATACAAACAAACCACAAATTATCCTTACAAATTGTTCAACATAAAAAATAAACATTCATAAATAGGTCGCATAGACGCCAGACGCTTAGGCATCGAGAGATGGAGCTCCTTTCACTGGAAGCTTGATCGACTTCGAGTGAGGGAAAGAGGGAGGCCGCCGCTTTGGTGGGATTAGGATGGGGAAATTAGGGGTTTCCTAATTGCTTAATGGGCCAAGACCTGATTTAGTGGGCTTTGGCCTTTGTGGTGGGTTGGGCAGTGGGCTTGTGGTCTGGGAAAATTATTTATATGGGTGTGGACCGGTATTTATGGAACGAATGTATCTAAACCAAATCCAACCCAATCTGGTGAACAGTGTAACGTGTTTAAACTCGAATCTGGCCCATATCCGTCAACACAAGTTTTACTCGTGTTGACCAGATTGAGTCGAGTATGATACCCGTGAATTCAGATTTTGTTGTCATTCTGTATAAATAAAATGAAGCCCATTCTCAGCCCAATAAAAACAGTGGGCCGAGCCTGCCAATACAAATTAGGCCCACTCAGAGCACGAAATCTCCCCCCAACTAAAACCCTGCCAAAAAATCTGAGCTTCCTGCCTTCCATTTTCTCCCCCCGCTCTCCGATCGTCTTCCACGATGCTGTCCCGACTCCTTCCTAAACCTTCACAGCTCCGACATCTCACCAATCTCTACCCAAAACCCCAATCCACTTCTCCTCTCCCACCTCGCCTTCCTACTTCCGGCTTCTCTTCGCTCTTCCGCCCTCTTTCCACCGGCGGCAATAATGACAACGACGGCACCGGGAAGGGCGGCGGCTCCTTCTCCGACCTCTGGAAGCTATCGTCGGACACCAGCGGCGGGTTCTCCGATCCGTTCTTCAGCGAGGATGCCGGAGGCTACGGCGGTGACTTGCAGGGGATATCCGACGCTCCGGAGCCGAAGGCGGCGGTCGAGAAGTGGGCAATCGAGGATGGGGAAGGCGTGAGTGCCGGTGGGGACGTTTTCGGGAAAATTGAGAGCGATGCGGGCTCTGTAGCTGGGGCGAACAATTGGGGGCCGTCAAAGGATTTCATGCCGTGGGACTTGAAGAATGCTGCGGGAGAGGAGAAGAGCGAGATCTTTGATCCGGACTCGGTGTTTGGGGCTGAGAGCAGGACGGGTATTAGTTTGAAAGAGGAGATTGAGAAGAGAGAGGAAGAGATGAAGAAGCTGGAATTGGAAGAGGAGAAGCTCACCGCCATTTTGAAAAAAGGCAAGCTTTAGAATCAATTTTGCTTGCTTCTTTGTGCTTTAGTCGCCATTTCAGTAGGGTTTGGTAATAGCGAATGATGTACTTGCTGCAGGTCCGACTCGTGCATTTGGTGATCTCATTGCGGCATCTGGAATCACGGATGAAATGTTGGACAGTTTGATTGCTTTGAAGGACTTTGAAGGGATTGAGGGGTTGCCCACATTGGGCGAGATAGAGGACATTCGATACGAAAAGAGTAGGAGGAAATCCACGAGAGCTGAAATGGAAAGGCAGAAGCAGGAGGAAATTGCCAAGGCGAGGGTGAGACAAGTGGATGACAAAGGTAGGGCTTATGGGACGGGGAGAAGGAAATGCAGCATTGCCCGTGTTTGGATTCAACCTGGAGAGGGGAACTTCAATGTGAATGAGAAACAATTTGATGTGTATTTCCCGATGCTTGATCATCGTGCTGCTCTTCTGCGCCCTTTCTCAGAGACAAAGACTCTGGGTCGTTTTGATATTGATTGTACTGTCAAAGGAGGTGGTGTTTCAGGTGAGTCTTGAGAAGGTTTCTTTGAGTTGTATGGTTACTAGATGTTGTATAGTCTTGATTGCTAAGCATGATGCCTTTTCTATCCGATTCCATAATCGCTATATCTAGTTCCTTGGTTCTTCCTATGTTCAAGAACCTTTATGCTCGGTTTGCACAGTTTTGGAGTATAGAAAAGGGAAGGAGATTGTTCCATAGTGTCTTTCAATAACCACTCGATCACATATGTTGAGTTTAGAAGGACAGGCCTCATATCTTTTTTCAATCAATATAAGCTTGTGAGTTGTGACGAGTGCTAGGGTAGAGATTTCATTTTTTCTCAGGAAGTGTCTATAAGTAGTCGAGGATTGAGAGCAGCATACAGATAGTAGTAGAAGTTGTATCGTTGATGTTTTCTCCAAGTGTTTAAGCTCATCGATTTATGCTCACCTCGTTATATGAATTAAAACACAGGTCAAGTTGGAGCTATTCAATTGGGTATAAGCCGAGCATTGCAAAACTGGGAACCTGACTTGCGGCCTCCACTCAGAAATGGTATGGGTTTTATGCAAGTTTCACTATGTTCTCTAGACAAATGAATTTATCCCATCTCCTGTTTAATGCAAATTATGAGATACCATTCTATCTACTGTTAATGGAAGGGGATTAGCACGAGTGTTCAACTTGTTTATGAAATGTATATAATATCCGCTCTTATCTACTACTTACTACCAGTCCCCATCTTGATTCCTTGTTTCTGGCGTTGTTTGGCAGCCGGTTTCTTGACGAGGGACTCACGTGTGGTTGAAAGAAAGAAACCTGGCAAAGCAAAAGCAAGGAAGAGCTTCCAATGGGTCAAGCGTTGATGGATTGTTTGCAAGCTTTGTTGTTTTGGATGAATTGCACACAAGCTCAATCCTTTAGAAGCTGTCTGCCTCATGTCTTGTAGAATTCATTAAACCTGTAGCGACTCCACAAAAGCTCACAAAGGTTCATTTATTTGCTGGTGCTCAACTGAAAATCATTTTTCAGAAAATGAGAACAAGCTTGTAGCAGTCGATTCAGTCTAAAACTTTAGTGGCAGTTGCTTGAAACGAAGAGGGATACAACTTCAGAATGAATACCTGAAAAAGAAACAGATGCCGTTTTGTGTTCTCCAGATTTGTAGTGTGATTGCCGGGATATCCCTTATTATTTTCTTGTAGGAATCGAGTTAGAAAGAGTTGTAACTTGCTCCCTAAGTTTCAGATTTTGATTAGTTGCTGTGACCAATAATATAGTGATTTGCTTGAATGGTTCATCTCAGGCTGCCACACTTAATAAGGTTGCTTATGCTATGGAGTAGTATCTTTCCCTAACATGCTAACATGGTAAATTCCCTCCCTTTCGGTTCATTAGAGTTTGAGTTTACTCACCACCAGTACAACAAGAAGCTTTCAAGGTAACCAGTGTGTGTAAAAACTACATATAATTTTAAGTTTAAGAAATATTTCGGGTAACACTAAATTCGTTCGCCCTTTTCTGTACCGTACATTTCGACCTTTTCTGTACCGTGCATTACTTAACTCTATGTTAAGTGTATTCCGTTAGAGTTAACACAATATTCTTAATAGACCATTTGGTATCAAATGAATCAAAAATTCATTTCATTGAAAATAAATTATCCTATAGAATTCATTGTCAAATGAAATCCGGTGTTTAACATGTCATATTCAAAGAAATAAAATGAATTGACATGTGAAATTCATTGTCAAATGAAAGCCTGTGTTTGATACGTCATACATATAAATAATATGTATAAAGAATTTAGTTAATAAAAGAGGATGATTATATCATTCTATTATAATTAGTAATTTCTTGTGGAATGTTCCATCTCAAGTCCTCGGAATTGCTATAACTGATTACAATTCTATAGGATTCAAAATTTAGAATTGAAAATGAATTCTTTTGAATACCAAACACAAAAATATTTCATTTCAAAATGAATTCCTCGAAACTTATGGAATTCATTTATACCAAACGGTATGTAAGAACTTACTTTAATTTGAATTGATTCTCTCTGCCTTCTCTCTAGCCGGTTCCATTTTCTTCTTTCCCGGGGCTGTCGCCGGCTCCTTTTTTGGTGACCGGCGGCAGCTCAAGTCCCCTCCTTCCTTGCTTTCCTTTCCTTTCATGATCTTGCTTCTCTTAGCTTCGTTCTAGGTGTTTTCCCTCGGATTGCAGTCGTTTTCCCCCTTTTCTAGCCGATATGGCTTTCCAGTTTACAGTCTTTATGGCCTTTCAGTTCCCAGCTGATCTGGATTTTCATCTTTCACTCCGGTTGAGCTTTATGCTCTTCGGTCGTTGATTGGGGTTCTTGTTCGCGACTTGCTCATGTATGGATCTAGAGTTGGCAGCTTGGGAGCCTCGTCACGCTCTGTTTTGGTGGTTGATGCTCCCAGGCTGGTGGTTTCATCTTTTTGGTGTAGTCATTCCTTACGTTTCCCCTTCCGATCTCCCCTTGTTGTCTGAATGCTGCTTGGCCGTTCATCGGATTGTGGTGGGTAGGGTCTCCTCTAGGTGATTTTGGTCGTTGTCCGATGTTTCCTCAGAGTTTGGGGGCTCAATTTCGATCTTCTGCTCTCTATGGATTGACCTCTCTGCCTCGACTCCCTGTGCCTTTTTCAGCTCGAAGCAATTTGTTTCACATCCTTGCCCACCGCCATGTAATTTCATTTAGGAGATTCACTGTGTTGGATTCCTTTGAGTTTTCCCCAGGAGGCGGCTTATGACATTGCTTTGCTCAATTGTTATGGACTTCGGTGTGATCGGACGATCTGATCTTGATCTTGTTGCTACTCTGTTCGGTTCGGATGCGAGAGAGGTTTGGAATGTTCTGGTTTTGGATCAAGTGTTGGTCCCTTTGGGTTGTTGATTTCACTCAGTGTTTTTCTCTTATTTGATGTATCTCTCAAGCAAAGTTTGTGTCAGTTGTTTGCTTTGAGGTGCCTTTGTTTGGTTTGATTCCATTGTTTTTCATTTTCCCTCTCTGTAACCGATCATTTATAGTGCAATGCAAGATTTTCCACTGTAAAAAAAAAAAGTCTGTAAGAATATTTTGCTTTTTCTGAATTTCGAAAGTAGTCCCTCTTCTTTTCCTTTCTACCAAAAATTGTTAAGTTATCAAGAGCTTTTTTTTATTTTTTTCAAGATACACTTTTATAGTCAAAACTTTCATTTTTGTGACAATTATAGCCACAACTTTTCATAACACACAAAATAGTCACATACGTCCATCCCTTTAACGATGTCACTTAATAATATGACTAGACTAACGGAAATTCTAAGTTGGCGATCCATGTGGATTAAAAAAATAGCAAAATACACTTCTATAGTCACAACTTTCACGTTTGTGACAGTTATAGCCACAACTTCCGAAATACACAAAATAGCCACTTCCATCCATCCTTTTAATGGTGTCACTTAACAATATGACTAGAGAAAGGGGGCCTTATTTCCCAGATCATAGATGGAGATCCCCAATCGCTAGATTGAAGAAGAAGGCATGAGAAGCTTGATGGAGTCACAAAAAAAGGCGAGAAAGAGGGCAAGAAGGTTGATGGGAAGAAGCTCGATGACAACCGCGAAGAAGGAGGCATCGACGGCGACAATGAAAGAGGAGACAGTGTCTCTGATGGCGACATAAAACTGATGGGTCGGGAAGGAAGAATGTGGCAGCTCGTAGTTCATTTCCCCCTCCAATTCCTCAAATTCGTCGCGGCTGCGGTTGTTCTTGTTTTCGGTGAAGCTTGATTCGCCGGATTCAATTGGCTCGATTTGTTGTATTCCCTCTCAACCGAAGACTTGATAAGAAATCGAGGACATGGTCGCGATTGCTTCGTGTATTTTGAGAATTTGTAACAAAAATGACTAGATTTGCCAAACAACCGTAAAAAATCTGGCTATTTCTTGTATTTCAAAAGTTGTGGCTATAACTGTCACAAATGAGAAAGTTGTGGCTATGAAAGTGTATTTTGCCTAAAATAATTTTAACGTAAGTTATGACGTGACATCTACGTGGCAAGCGAGGCTAAGCTGTCGTTGACGTGTGCGTCAACTTGGTATCTTAGTCATTGTGTCGTTAACCTAGCTAATGAAATCTCTAACACCGTTAAAGTTATTGTAACGAATATGACTAGATTTGTCAAAAAAATTATCAATTTTTTTACTATTTCATGTATTTGAAAAATTGTGGCTATATGATATATCTAATACAAACATGAAACATGAAAGTTGTGGCTATGGAATCCTATTTTACCTTTTTCTTTATTTTTTTTCCACAAGGCCATTGATGGGAGTATGTTCCTCCATAGAAACTACTTTGCTATATTTTATGAAAGGGTCGTTTGGAAGCTGCGATTGTTAAATAGATGTATTGTTGAGAATGCATGTATAATATTATACATGTATTGTCGAATTTGATGCATTGTAGAATACAACGTTTGGTATGTGTGTTTGTGTATGTCGCATCAGCTAAAAGCCGAGACAAAACAATCTCAACTCAACTATCTCAACAATCACAACTAAAAGTTGAGATATAACAATCACTCAAAATGAGTGATAGTTTCTGTCACATCACAGAAACAATCCATGTATTGTTTCTGCTAAAAAATGAAAAAACGATGCATTGTAAACAATACATGCATAATGACAATCTCAACAAAACAATCGCAACTTCCAAACGACCCCGAAGTAAACTATATTTTACTCATCGAATTTATTGAGCCTTTGATAGTTGCCAAAGGTTTCGCATTTAGAATTAGTCATTCTCTTAGCCATGTCAAGCATGCATAGAATATTTTTCTGTCTAAGTTTTGAAATATCAAATTCACAAATCTTTTAGTTAGCTTTGTTTTTTTTTTCCGGAAAATTCTTAACTCCAACCTTGGTTGGACACATAAACTCCAACCAGTCACGTGTTAGTTTTCTATTGGCGATTTCATTATTTTTTAATATTTTAATTCTTGATTTACTTAACATAATTAAATATTAAGAAAAAAAAGGTGAATCCACGCACCAATAACAAACTGACACCTTGAATGGTTAGAGCTTCTGCGTCCAACCAAAGTTGGAGCTAAGAATTTCCTTTTTATTCTAGCTTCTACAATGTCTAGTTTTTCGTTAACTAAATCTTGAACTCCACTTTCTACCATTTTTTTTCACTCATACAATCTTCAGGAATTGTGAATACATTTTTCAACCAAAGCATTTACTTAATTATATTACTTCAACTTATAGATGTGCCAGATTTGTGGAATTTGAGTTTACATTAGAATTAGAAGACTTTTCTGTTTCCTATGGTAATTTAAGAAGAAAATTACTTTCAATAGAGTTATAAGGATCAATATGTAATTAAAATTAAGAATTTTTTTGGCTAGACAGAAAATGGAATGGATGCAATTTTATTAGATTTTAGCGGTATTCGGCGACCTATTCTAATTTAAGTGGTATGTCTACTTTATTCTCAAATTTGAGTAATGTGCAAGGTAGTTTACCCTAAAAAGTAAAAATGAATGTGGAGAAAAGTAAATAAACCAATCACTAGACTTGTCATTTTGTACAAATACCTCATATCACTAGGCCTTTTGTTCATTTCTAGCTCTTTGATTAAAACTTATATCCGAACTCGTTGTAGTTGTAAATGATTCATGCTTACTATGGATCCCCAATATTTTAAACTTCATGTTCACGCCTCAATTTGCAGTTAACGCGTATTTTCCCCATAGTTTTTCCGGTATTATATTTGTGATTTAGCATTTGTTAATTAATAACTTCAAAAGTTTTTTTTTACAATATATAACTTCAATAGTTGATACACCTAATTGAGAGGTATAAACCGTATAAGATGTTATATTAAAAAAAGTAAGCGATAAGGTATTTAATGTTGAAATCGTAGTTTAATTATAGTTTAACCTTTTCATACCGCTAAATACTACTTATCGATTTAGCCTATGGTAGGATGTTTTTCTGGGTGAACCGTCAGTACGGTAAGAGTTTTCACTCCTTGAAATAGGGATGACAAGGGTCTGGTTGGGTTGGGTTCTGCCAAATCTATACCCAATCCAATAGGTATATATGCAAAAAAAAAAAAAAAAGGAAAAAAATGCAATGGGTTCTCGAACCTCAAACTCAACCCAACCCCATTGGGTATCGTCGGGTTTATGGATATCCATGGAATTTAGTGGACAAAATGGGCTAAATTACACGTTTGGTCACTTAAATTATATAAATCTTTCATATTTGCCACCCGAATTACTTTTCTTTCTAATTAGCCACTAACTTTACGAATCGTTTCACCATTAGTCTCTGTCATTAGTATTCGTTAAACTCCGTTAACTCAGTCAGTTTTTTTTATGACTTGGTCAACGAGACTACTGATTGGTCCGTTAACTTAATGACATGTCACAATAAAATAAAAAAATTGATATGCCATGATTATGTTTTTGCCAGATAGAGGAGGATAATAAACCAGAGTTCTCGCCAACGACCGCTGCCACGTCAATGCTTCGGCCACAGGAAGAGAGAAGGAGTTCGGTCGTTGGTCAAGTAGTCGAGGAGATCAGGCTAAGGGGAGTATGTGCCTATCGTTCGTTGATCATGGAGGCATTTTGCCTGTCTCTAGTTGCCACAACAAGCTAATCAAGATTGATGGTGTGGGGAAAGATCTGGAGGTTGTTCCTTTTCCCACATTAATCGTGTCGATGAAGAAATCGGAGAAGAAGGCGAAGAAGGTTGTAAATCGGTGAACGATAACCTTCCGGATCTCGCCGCCGATGTACCGTGAGAATTTTTTTTGTGGGAGTGAGGGGAGGGGACCATGGAGTCACCAAAAGCTGAGGAGTCAAGGTTGCCGACTACGACGATCTCTTTTCCGTCAAAATAAAAGTCTAATACTAATTTGTCCATACAAATGATTCATACAAAAAACACCAATCTAGTACCTACAAACAAAACCCAGAAATTATTTATACATGTTGTTCAATATTAAAAGTAGACATCCACAAACAACACGGCTAATCGACGGGTTGTGAGAGTATGAGTGTGGGTGGGTATCCATGAATTGGATACACTCAAATTCGAATCCAATCCAACCATTGAATAGTGCAGCGGATTTCAACCCAAACCCAACCCATATTTCGTCAATATAGATTTTACTCGCTTTGATCGGGTTGAATAGAATAGGATATGCGTGAATTCCGATTTTGTTCACTATCTTGAAAATTGAAACAAACATATGAGTTATGACCGCGCTGGGAGGAGAGGAACCTCTTTCTGATATTGTTGGGCTTTAGCTGAGTGGGCCTTTTATGAAAAACTCATCAGCCCAAGTAGTCCATGACATGCAATGCAAGTAAAAAACCCAGGGACGGAGCAACTTGCTTCATCACTCCCCGACCTGGCGACCTCTAAACCCTAAAACCCTTAAAGCTTCCATCCGCTAGAGCCTATAAGACCCTCGCCCGCCTCCAAATTGACAGAGCACACGAAACCTAGCCCCAATCTCGTTCGTTTACTGTTCTAATCCAGCTGCAATGGCACCTCCAAGAGGTATATTCTCCTTCTTGATTACCGCTATATCGTGGAGTTCAGCTCTTTACTTAGCTCTGCTCGTGTTCCCCTGGTTTTGAATTGGATGGAAATAAAGAGATTTTTTCTCGTTTTGTAACATGCAGGAAGATCCGGTGGTTTCAGAGGTGGAAGGGGCGGTGATAGCGGCGGCCGAGGAAGGGGCGGCGGCCGCGGCGGCGGTAGATTCGGTGATCGGGGCGGGAGTGGGATGAAGCCCCGTGGCGGAGGTCGCGGCGGTTTCGGCGGCCGTGGTGGAGGAAGGGGTCGTGGCGGTGGCCGTGGAGGCGGCGGGATGAAAGGTGGGAGCAAAGTTGTGGTTGAGCCTCATAGACACGAAGGTGTGTTTATTGCCAAGGGGAAAGAAGATGCTCTTGTTACAAAGAATCTTGTTCCTGGCGAGGCTGTCTACAATGAGAAGAGGGTCTCTGTGCAGGTCAGTATCTTCGCTCTCACCGACTCCCCACTTGTAATTATTTGACTGAAGTGTTAGTTTTTGTTCTAAAGGTTTGATCTTTTTCTTTTGTTTCACCTCAGAACGAAGATGGGACTAAGGTCGAGTACAGGGTTTGGAACCCCTTCAGGTCGAAGTTGGCAGCTGCAATCCTTGGTGGTGTTGATAATATCTGGATTGTAAGCAACTGTTTACTGCTTCCATTTGAATTGATCATCCAATTATTCGTCTGGCTTGCTTATGAACTGGTAGTGATTAAGGTGGTGTTGTTTAATGATGGCAGAAACCAGGTGCTAAGGTTCTCTACCTTGGAGCTGCATCCGGAACTACTGTGTCTCACGTGTCAGATCTTGTTGGCCCCGTATGTTTTTTTATTGAACGGGGTTTGAGGTATGCTTTTTCGTTTATGGTTTAGTTTGCTGATGAACTGTGATGGGATTTATGCAGACTGGAGTGGTTTATGCAGTGGAGTTTTCACATAGAAGTGGTAGGGATTTGGTGAACATGGCTAAAAAGCGCACAAATGTTATTCCCATCATTGAAGATGCTAGGCATCCAGCCAAGTACCGCATGCTAGTAGGCATGGTTGATGTCATATTTTCTGATGTTGCTCAACCTGATCAGGTTTGCCCTTCTTTTTATCTGTTTCAACATCTGCACGAGTTCTCATTTGGTAACCATTCGAGAGATCTCTTAGACGACCCTTTAGATAATCCTATGGCCGCTGTTTTATTCTTAAACTGGCCTGGTGTTAGTTATTCTAGATTGGCATATCTTGGTTCGAACTTTTCTTTGAAAATAAAGTATTTCTTTTGGTTTTTTTGTCTGTGAATTATGTTGTCTTGCAAATGAAGAGACTTCACTCGGATTCCCCTACACGACTTATGGAGTGATGAAAACACGAGTTTCTGATGCAATCTTCAATAGTTATCTCTATTCTATTCAGCAATCCGTTTCTGTGTTTTCTTTGTTTCCAACTACTGTAGTGTTGTAATCCTGCATATGACGAGGTACTCGGATTCCCCTTCCAGTCATCTTAAGTGATGCAGGGTCCGAGTTGCTGATGCTGAAAAGGGATTCATCATTCTTTTACAAAATCAGTTGTTTAAAATTAGCAACTCCTTTTACTGTGTATCCATACATTTGTTTTTCTCTGCTGGATTTGTGTTTTCCATTTACAAACTCAATGCCTCGCATTGCTTATGCATCTATGCTAATAGCCCAACTTTTGTAAATGTTGGTTGGTACCATGTAATTTTGTTTCAGCGTACTTCGTATTGAATCTTCTACAATTGTCTATAGTACCCCTTATAAAACTCTCGTTATTGGGTTAGCCAGCCTATGCTGTCTTGTGGGGTGCTGGTATTTTGTTTGCGTGTAAGCCTTGTAGATTTATGGTGTCATGGTCTGTTTAATTTTGATTGTGCAGGCTAGGATTCTAGCCCTGAACGCATCTTACTTCTTGAAGGCCGGTGGTCACTTTGTCATCTCTATCAAGGTTGGTCCTGATTCTCTCAGAGTCTTTTCCTACCAGCTAATAATAGCTGGCAAGTACTCATGAACACGAACCGACATTAATGCAATCTTTCATTGTTGATTCAGGCAAACTGCATTGACTCCACAGTGCCCGCTGAGGCAGTGTTTGAGAGTGAAGTGAAGAAGATGACACAGGAGCAGTTCAAGCCTGCCGAGCAGGTGACACTGGAGCCATTCGAGAGAGACCATGCCTGTGTCATTGGTGCTTATCGTGTTCCTAAGAAGCAGAAAGCTTGAAGTCTTTTTGCTGGACCTGTAGTATTTCGATATCTTGAGATCCTTGATGACTTTGTAGCTTAGATAGCTTGCATGCCCCCTTGTTGTTGGGGCCTTGTATTTTTTTTTTATAACTACTGCTCCTTTGGTGCGAGTCAGAATTTTGTGGGATGAAAAGCTGGTCTGCCTAAGTTATATATTTTGTGCCAACTATATAAGCATTTGTGCCTATGCAATTCTCCTCTTATGCGAAAATATGATTGAAGGAAAGTGAAAACAGTTTACCAAGCAGCCAGTAGTAGCATCAACTACGTCCAACCCAGTAACTGGTCGAACAATCAAGGTAATAGCAGCGCTTGAGCTAAAACAGCAAAACCTAGTATGAGAACTGGAGTTGATTGTCAAACTGAACTAGAACTCCTGGCTTAGTGGCTTTGCTAGAATAGAAGGGATGTCAAACTGGAGAGCAACTCTACAAGGAGACAGCTGCCGACAGAGACACGGCAAGATTTTGTAATGTTGCTGCTATCATTTCTTCCTGAATTCTCAGGAGTCAACAATCAAATCAGAGCAATAAAGAACATAATATTATAAAATGAAGAACTGATTTTGTTGCTTCTCAAAAGACACTAGTTCATGACTCTATGATTCTCAAATTAAAAGTGTAGCTTAGCAAACCTTCAAAGCAACCCCAGTACATGGTAAGAGAGTACATATGTTGACCTGAACAAAGCCTACAGAATATAAAAGGCGACTGATGCGATTAAAGTGATATAAGGGTTTGAAAAAAACAATAAATTTTTTGTCAGAAGTGGGATTTGAACCCACGCCCTCTCTCGAAGACCAGAACTTGAGTCTGGCGCCTTAGACCACTCGGCCATCCTGACATCTGTGGTCTACAATTTGGCAGGGCTTATTACACCTATCGATGAAAAATACGTGGTTGAGACTAGGACTAGCTGTTCGCTGCTCACTCCTTCCACAAAAACAAACAATTGGCGACTACTCACTAGACTGTTCCCCTATGCATCTAAACATCGAAGGTAACAGTTCCAAGCTGAAAAAAAAAATGGAGGGAAACTCTAGATGACAAATCAAACTCTGGCTTTCATGCTGCAGTGGAGTGAATCAGTCCTTTTCTAGTTCATCATTCCACATTCAGTGTCTTTTTCCCTGAACTCATCATCTTCACACAGCTCCAGTGATACGATCAGCACCGCGGGTTTCCTGCCCACCCCACTTCTTCATTCTCTCTGTTGTTTGCTCCACCTGCAGCAAACCACCCAAGTTTTCCTTACTGCAACATTCAGCCAGAGACGAAAATGGAGAGGTACAAGGCAAACAATTTAGTCTCAGTTTGTTTACCTCTTTGTTCCAGTTTGTTCTGTATAGGATGAATAAGAGAATTAGAGTTTGCAATGCCGTCCCTGCTATCATTCCTCCCCAAATCCCCTATCAAACAACCAAAACAAACTAAGCATAGCATAAAAAACTCCCCCAACTTTTGGAGCAAAGATGCCCAATGAAATGGAAGAACTTTTGTAGGTACCGTGACACCCAAGTTAAGCTTGTAACCCAGCAGAAACCCTAGAGGCACCCCAAATACATAATAGCAGAATATGTTGATGTAGGCCACCAGACCTTGCCACCCAGCACCAATAGCCACACCTGATTTTTTTGCCAACGGTTTTAAGAGATTTCTGCAACGGAGTAGTCGATCTAGCCATTGTTGAAGGAGATTGGTGCTACCCTTACCTGAGATGACAGGCTGAACACTGTTGAGAACCATGGTGATGCCTAGCAGGAATGCTAGCTTAGACACAGCTCTTTGCATCTCCTGGCTGTTGGTGAAAATTATGGCAAAGTAGTCCTTTGATATAAGCACAACTACCATGGATAACAACCCGATTAGGAAGGACTGGAAGACAACGATGTAGACCGCGTATTTCGCTGCTCTAGGCCGTCCTGCTCCGAGCTCATTAGAGACACGAACACTGGACAACCATTTAAGAAAACAACACAACATCAATCAACCTCAATTGGGTCCTCCTCCCCATTCCGCCTTTTGCTTGATTGGCAAGCAAGAATCGACGGTGAAACAATCAAATCATCAACCGATAAAAACATTCGCGTTTAGTTTTCACCTTATAGCTATATTGATACCAATGAACAGCATTGCTTCCCAGCCATTGATATTCATACTGCCAAATGAACAACAGAGTATCAATTACAAGAAAGACACCATTTTCCTGTTCATCAAATAAGAGCACTGCACATCCAGCACAAGAATTGAACAAATGGGTGCTCATCACTCACCATATAGAAAGCGAACCAACGGCAATGACAGCGTTGTCGAGATGGCCAGTAAGAACGTTGATGCTCATAAAGTACCAAACCTCGAGGCAGAGCATGACAGCAGAGGCGATGGAGAGCCTGACGAAGCTCCACATGTCCCTGAACGCGGCCCACGAAAGCCCAGTCCAGCCTTCGTCGCACCAGCGGACCACATAAACGACTTGGGCTACGGCGATTCCCCAGCTGGTCACGTTGTATGCCACGGCGGCACCCGTCGTGCCCCAGCCCAGCCCAAAGATGAGGAGCCAGAGCAATGGGACCTGCACGATCAGGGCCGCGAGGGCGATCCAGGCCAGAGCGCTGACCTTGCTCTGGGCCTGGAGGAACTTCTGGGTCGGGAAAGTTATGGCGAGGGAGAACAGCTGTGGGATTGTCTGCACGGTGAATCTTCCGGCTAAGTTGGCGATCTCTTCTTCTTGGCCCAGTAGCTTGAGGATTGGAGAGGCGAAGAAGAAGATGGGGAGGAGGAAGAGACAGGAGACTAAGAGGATGATCCATGATCTTTGCATGTAGATGCCTAGCATGTGAACTTGTCCGGCTCCGAAAGCTTGACCGCAGAGCGTCTCCAACGCGCTGCCCATGCCCAACTGTTATTTTCGTACGACGTGTTAGTTAGGTCGTTTTCGATAAGATGTGTCAAAATGTATTGGATTTGTGAATTTGTCGATAAGTTTTGTGGGTCAATGAATTATCAGATTGGATCGAATGAATTTGCGGATTCCAGTTGCATTTAATTACATATGTTAAAAGAAAAAACTTTATATAATCAAATATAATTTTAATTCGAGCATTTTATAAAACCTTTTTAATTATAAGGATGATGATATAGGTTTGATTCTTTTAATTAGGTGATAGTTAAAGAATTCGAACATATGGTCTAAATTAAAGAAATGTATGTTTTGAAATGTAGAATGTGAAAAAATAGGCACTAAATTGTGAATTTATAGAGATTCTTAATCAACCCATTGACATGCTGATGTAAGCGAAATCCGGGAATCCGAACTCGCTCACGAATCAGAATACGTAGCTCAATTCTCACTTTTTAGGGTTTTCCTGGGATTTTCTCAAGAACACAAAAATAAAAGAATAGGATGAAAAATGATTGTCGTGCAACTTCAACACACGGGAAGAGGCTCGAACAATATGATGATAGATGCCCGACCACGATCACGGAGAATACTTGATCGACTGGCCGGAGAAAATTCCTGGACTCAAACCCGGACTCCTCCCTTGATTGTCAATTTCTGGGTGGGCTTCTCTACCGGACGAACTCACATCACATGTTAATTACCATATGAATTTGAATTTTATGGATATTTAATGTACGAATTCTTTGTATATATATTATAAATTTAGAATAATATTCAAAGACAATTTTCGCAATCAACTCGTTTGTTTGACCTAAATTTAATTAATTTGGACCCGAAATGATCTTATTATACATAATCGATTAACGATCACCTGTGGTTAAGAGAAATAAAATTCATTTTTGGGCTAAAAAATATGCGCTTTTCTGACATCTAAGAGAAGGGGAGGAGAATAAAATCCAACAAATTTCACTTTTCAGCAGTCACTCACTCACCAAGAATCCGAAGACGAAAGTGCCGATGACCGAGAGGGAAATGGACACGCCAGAGAGCTCGACGTCGCCGATGTGCCCGACGAACATGACCGTGACGGAGTTGAGCCCGAACTGGCACACCGTGTTGAAGGCAATCGGCCCGGCGATCCTCCACAGCTTCTGCGTCTCCGTCCAGAACACCGACCGCAGCTCCGGCCAAGTCCTGACCGCGGCGTAGTCGCCATCCTCGCCGGCGAGCAGCGGCGCCTCCATGACGGGAGCGGTGGGATAGCTAGAAAAGGCAAGAAGAGGCTGAAGTACTGATGAGGATTGGAGAGCTCAAGAGGCCAACTACTGTTGGTTATAAATGGCGAAGAGAGACGCAAAATTGTCATTGGGGACCAAGGCAAGAAGTAGCAGGTAGTAAATGGCGATGGGCGCGAGGATGGCTCCACATTTATTTAATTTCTGCGTGCCCCATGTCAAGTTGGGGGTAAGTTCCGGAAAGGCCCTAAGATTAGGTACCGACTCGAATTCGAACAAATTTTGTCAAGAAAAATCCGATAGATATTTTTGTTAGGGTTTTATGAACACGTCCTAATACGTACCGAACACATCCTAATACGTATTATAAGTTATAAATATATTCTATCTCATTCACTCGCTCACTTAAACACTACGAAAGTACAAATTATTAGTTCGGTTGATGATTAATTTAACGGTTAACCACCGAAAATAACAAGCTTCCTTCACAAATCATCTTATTTTGAAATTTTCCCACTTTCCTCTTCTTCAATTTTAAAGTAATCGTTGTAGTTCTCTATCTATTGTTTTATAAGTCTTCGGAACATTGGATGGGAAAAAGAAACACAATCTTTGTTGGGATTATTAATAGCGGCTGGGATTTGGAACATTTTTAAAATTTGCAAACCTCCCACAATGTTTTGTCCTTTTGGGTAATAATAAAAAAGACATAGACATCGAAAAGATATTGATTTATGTCACCATCTAACTAGCTATCAATATGAATTCCCATGGCAAAAAGTAACTTCCTTTCTCCTAATACAACAGTTCTCAAAAAGTCAGGGAACTAGAAGAACTGCCCACAGAAGGAAATCCTTTACATCATCGTCCTCAAAAGCTTTCATTTTCTTCTCCCCTGTTTTCAAGCTCCATTGATCTTCTTCTCCTGACGGTCACCGTTGATTTCATGGCCACCCCATTTCTTCATTTGTTCTGTTGTTTGCTCCACCTTCAAGATCACCACCCAATTTTGTACCTTCATACTCAGCAAGAGATGACGAAATGTGAGAGATGGAAAGTGAAACCAATTAGTTTATACTTTCTTACCTCTTTGTTCCAGTTGGTTCTGTAGAGGATGAACAAGAGCATCAGAGTCTGCAACGCCGTCCCTGCAATCATCCCTCCCCATATCCCCTGCCACATCATTCAAACAAAGCATCGATGAATCCACATGAACGATCGAGGGTGTCGAATATGATGAACAAAAGAAGGGTGGGTTTTCATTGTTGGTACCGTGACACCCAAGTTAAATTTGTAGCCGAGGAGAAACCCTAGTGGCAGCCCGAATACATAGTAGCAGAATATGTTGATGTAAGCCACCAGCCTTGCCATCATCCAGCACCAATAGCCACACCTGACCTGAAGAGAAAAAAGAGAAAAAAAGAAGAATAAGAGGTTTCGAAAAACAGAGTACTCTGCCTTTTTGTACAAGGAATTGAGTTGGATTGGTGGTGTGTTTCCCCTACCGGAAATGACTGGCTGAACACTGTTGAGAACCATGGTGATACCCATCAGGAACGCTAGCTTAGACACAGCTACTTGCAGGTCCTTGTCGTTGGTGAAATTGATGGAGAAGTAGTCCTTCGACGACTACCATGCACAACAACCCGATTAGGAAGGATTGAAACACGACCGATGTAGACCGCGTATTTTGCTGCTCTCGGATGCCCTGCTCCTAGCTCATTCGATACTCGAACGCTGGAGAAATCGACGAATGCTAGGTAAATAAACAACCGTGCGGTAGTAATGTGAGCATAACAACATTTTCACGGTTGAACCTTTTAACTTACCTTATAAGTTATAGCTATGTTTATACCAATGAACACCATAGCTTCCCATACATTGAAATTCATACTGCAGAAATCACCAAAATATACAAATAGCAAATCTTGAACAACAAGTAAACAGATTGGGTAACCAGAAAATGCTCACCATATGGAAAGGGAGCCAACGGCAGTGACAACATTGTCGAGATGGCCCGTAATCACAATGTGACACCCATGAAGTACCAAATCTCTAGTGCTAGTATGACAGCAGTGGCCAACGAGAGCCTGACAAACCCCCAAATGTCGTCGAACGTCAACCACGACAGCCCGGTCCACCCTTCCTTGCACCAACCAATTACATAAACCACTTGGGCTATGGCCACGCACCAGCTGGTTATGTCGTAGGCCAGAGCCGCTCCGGTTGTACCCCAATCGAACCAGAAGACGAGGATCCAGAGAAGAGGGATCTGTATGATCAGGGCCGCGAGTGAGATCCAGGCCAGAGCAGTGACCTTGCTCTGCGCCTGCAGGAACTTCTGGGTCAGGAATATCACTCCGAAAGAGAAGAGCTGTGGGATTATGAGAAGGGTGAACCGTGAACTGGCCGGCTAGGTTGGCTATATGTTCTTCTTGATCCAGGAGCTTTGAGAATTGGAGTGGCGAAGATGTAGAGAAGTAGAAGAAAGAGACAGTAGCCTAAGAGGATGATCCATGATCTTTGCATGTAGATGCCTAGCATGTAGACTTGTCCTGTCCCGAAAGCTTGGCCGCAGAGGGTTTCCAATGCACTTCACATTCCGAGCTGCAAATTCGTTACAACATGTTGACTAACATATTCAAAATTTGATCGTAAAATTGTAGTATATAAGCGTCAGGACCTGTAGAATTAGTAAAGCCGTTAGAATAGTGATATAGTACATTTGTTTGGATGATTAGAGATGAATCGAATCGTTCTTAACAATTGGGCATGAAACAAGATGAATTACTGCAGTTTCACTGGTTCACATATTCATTATTTTAACAAGAAAAAAATTAAGGGAAAGGAAACTTTTAAGGCAAACTAAAATCATCCAATCTGAATTACTAATTCATTTTGAATTCATTTTATTTATACTTCATTTTCTTCAATTCACAAACTCCTTGTCTGCTTTATGCGGTCTACTACGGATTGTCACATTAATTAATAAGTTGATTTTAATGAAAAGAGTAATTTTTTTATGAGACAGTTTGAATGATTTATTCAAAATTTTAATGATAATGATATATTTTTTAAATTGGTTTCTAGTTAGTGAATAATTCAGTCCTAAATTATGTATTATATATTGTCTTTTATGTTATAGAGCATTAACAATTTTATCAACAGTTAGCTAACAATTATATAACGATTTATTAGAGTATATGTAATACGAGTAGTATTGTATTATACTACAAGTATTGTTATGTAATTGGTCAAAGTTACATTTCATATCAGAGTCGTAGAAGTTAGATAATTTTTGTTGGCGTGTATATAGTAACCGATTGATATTTCGGGTACTATTGTGTAATTTGTTAATGGCGTTACCCTAAGAAGCACGTAGAAGGGTATTTAGCAAAGCCTCCTTGTCCCCACGAGTTTGAAACTCAGCCGATTCAATGGTGGGACGGCGCGCGGTAGTAGCTGGCTCTGTTGTTCCTCGACAGCCACCATTTGATAAGCCTCGGCCAGTGAGGGAATGGGCTTGAGACTTAGAATTTGAGTACGGACCACCGAAAACATATCATGGAGGCCAAGTAAAAAGTCGAAGAGTCACTTTGTCTCAAGTTTCTCACGGGTCTGTTTTGCTATATCACAAGAACATCCATTGCAGCTGCACATGGGATTGGTGCTGACAGCCTGCAGTTCATCCCAATAGGTACGAAGTTTGGTATAGAAAGCACTTACAGAGAGTTTCTCCTGACGAAGTGAACCAATAAGCCCCCGAAGTTCATATGCCCGGGCGGCAGAGCTTGTTTCAAACCTTTGCCAAAGATCCGACCATATCTCGTGGGCTGTTTTGGCCCCACGTACGCTATTCCGGACTTCTTTATGCATGGCGGTCTTAAGCCACCCTTTAACCATAGCGTCACAACGATCCCCATGCATCGAGGCGCATACCGCTATCGGCAGAAGAACGCGGTAAAGTGCCGTTAACAAAGGCCAACTTATTTTTGGTGAAGAGAGTCTCCTACATATCATTAACCCATTCTCCGTTATTCAGATCAGTCAAGAGATCAGATCCGAACAACTGCCCTGGGTTTTCCGACGGGTGTAAGTAGAGAGGAGAGGTGAGCGGGATCGAGGCAGGGCCAGTGACGGCTGCCTGGGAATCGGCCGCAATATCTTCTCCAGAGCTAGAACCCATGATTACAAACCGTTGAGAGTATCGATTATAGCTCTGACATCATGTAAGAGAAACGGTGGTAGCTGACGTGATTAGAGATAAGATAGGAGACAACTTGAGCAGAAGAACCGGGCAGCTCAACATCATAAATAGCTAACTTGGATGGTGGATGACGATCACGGTTGCTGCGGCGCAAAGGAGGGGAGGCAGGACGAGTTGGTTCAGCGTCCACGGAAAGAGGGAGCACCTGAGATTCTTGTGAGGAAGAAGCAGACAAAGATTTGCCACCATCCGAGGTCGGACTTGCACGGGGCAAAGTTTCGCCAACGTGAGCACCATGCAAGGGAGAGGCGACATCAAGTAATTCGTCTCCAAGGTCAAAAGGCTCATGTATTTAGTCAACAACTGTGACACGATTAGCTACAAGAGTGTCGAGCTGGTCCAGCCCCCCTCAGGCAAAGCACCAGAAGTGGAAGGGTCGCGCGAAAGAGTACCAGGAGCGGCAGGCGGTGAAACAACACCGAGCTGGAAGGGGAACTCGGATTTCACAAAGTGAACATCCCGAGAGGTCTAAATTTTTTGGGTATCGAAGTCATAAACGCGGTAGCCCTTTTGAGAATAAGGATCTTAGAGTTTTTAGTTTTTACCCCCTGGCAAGAGGGAGATCGATTGCAAGTGGGTCTACAAAATTAAGTATAACCCGGATGGGTCGATTAGCGCTATAAAGCGCGGCTCGTTGCCAAAGTTTCACTCAGATCGAGGATGTCGACTTTCATGACACTTTTGCACCGGTGCGAAGCTCGTTACCTTTCGGGTTCTTATTGCAGTTGATGTGAGTCGTGGTTGGCATTTACACCATCTCGATGTCAACAATGCATTTTTGCATGGTGACCTACAGAAGGAGGCTTTGCTAAATACCCTTCTACGTGCATCTTAGGGTAAGGCCATTGACAAATTATACAATAGTACCCGAAATATCAATCGTTACTATATACACGCCAACAATTTTAGTATCCTTTCTTTACCTTTGATTCTTAAGTTCCACTGCTATACTCATAAGAACATAACAGGAGATAGTAAAAGATCAATTCAAGACTAGACCCGCGACCACAATCTCACAAACAGGAGATACTGAAGAACGTTGGTGGTAAAGTTCTTGGTTTCTTCTACTAAACTTGGCTTGCTGGCTTCAGATTTATACATATTATGAGTTGAGTTGACTTGTTCTGGTTTTACGGGGTTTTGGCTTGTAATTTGTGGAGGTGAATTTGAATGTCAGTTAATTGTAGTTCTGGTTTAGGATTTTTTTTCTCAAATTCGGGGTTGCGAGTCGAGTCTTGAATTGATCTTTCAATATTTCATGTTAGCAAAAGTGTTTTGGTATAGAAAAAACAAATATATGGTACAAAGTAAATTTGTACCTTTTAACATTATATATAGTACAAGTCCACTTTGTAATTTATACATTTTCGTTCAATTTTTTTTTACTTTACAAACTAAACATGTACCTTACTGTTATGATACAAATTTAATTTGTACCTAAATTTTTCCGTACATATTTATTTCTAATACAAACTAAACTTGTAACTTCAACTTTATGCTACAAATTCAATCTATATCTCAAAACACCGGTAGTTCATGAGCATTGTAAAATTCCACTTGGGTATTCTGTTTACTTTTAGCAAAATTTCGTGTTTAATGAGTAAAATAAATTGGCCGGCTAACGCTCAAACAACTTTCTTGCATTGTTTTACCAACTTCATCCCAGAGAACAATTTGCAGAACCACTAGTATCGCTTATCTCAAAACTGTCTTGCTTAACCCTACATCCCCCTCAATTTTACGACATCAACAAGTGACAAATCGACCACGTAGTTGCGTGTTTTGCCGATTGAATGAAGGTCATTCTTCATTGGGGTGGTGTGGTTACCCGTGATGTATTTTGGTTTCCTGCCTCAGGAATCTTTAGCTAAATTACGTCTACTCCTTAAGAAACATAACTATAAACTGAAATATTCTTCTTCTCATAATCATAACTCAGCCACAAAGTACATATTTATAAGAAAACGTAGGAAAACCTTATAGCTAACCCTATCCCACTCTAACAAGGTAACTAATAACGTACTCAACAAGACACAATTAACTAATACGAATATTCCTAAATAATCACAATAACATGACAATTAACTAATAATAATACCCTAACGACTAAGCCCAACTAGGCACCAAGGCCCATGGATGCTATAATGCACCAACCTGCCCCACATTTTGCAGTTAACCACACCCACACATATAGAATTATGATACCCATAACTCGCACCACAATGGATAGTGGTTACCAATACCCACTGTGGGCTGGAAGTGGATACCCACAAAAACTTTCGTTCATTCGCCATTCGAACTCGTATATGATAAACATATCGGTCGAGTGACAGCAAAAAACACACAGTGAGTTTAAACCAAGTCAAAGAAGCCCAAGACATGGAACGAGCGAGGATCCGGTATTCACAACTTCCTAAGTAGTCAACCTTCTCTCCTCTATTCACTTCACTCGCTTACAGATCACTTCACTTTCTTTAGCAAATGCAGATTGATAACGAGTATGGGTTGGAGGGGATCTAATCTAAATATACTAGTATCTTTATTAGCGGCATGATTCATTTGCTTTTTTATTCGAATTTTTAGGGATAAATGGAATTCTCTCCCAAGTTGTGGAATTAACGTCTTCTTACGCAAAAACAAAAATCTACATAAAAGAATGTTAATAAAGTGTTAAATAAACTACAAACCACATTTATTGACTTGGTGTTGTTATAAAATAAACACATACCACGAGGACAATGCTTATTTAATAAAAGTATCTCATACGGACATTGTGTATTGACATGGTTTTTTATAAAATAAGTACGTATTTGATTTTGGAGACTACTTTAATTTGTAGCATTCTACTTTTCACATACTTGAATATTACAAAGTATTATTAATAACTATTTTTCTCCATTGATATCACTCAGGAAAAAAAAAAGTATTATTAATAAATAAATATACTTAGTGTGGTTATTGTGGGTTAACCGCTATGGAAAATTTAATATTTTACTACCCACACCCAACCTACTATCCACAAATTGTGGGTATGTTACCCACAAAATGTGTGGTTTGCAGATTAACTGCAATTCGCAAATCAAACTTCCACCCTAAGTAGTATAGCATACTTGTCAGCTCTTGGAATGTACACAACAAGCAACCGAGTAGGAAAAGTGAACTGTTTGTCCGTTTTTTGTACCCTCGGATAGGGCATTCCTAACATTGGGTTAATATGTGATATAAGCTTTATTACTCAACTTCTTACAAGACACAACAAATGAGAACATTTTATAATAGAGGTCTTTTGTTCGAATTTTCGACGACTCAATTTGTGAAGCATATGTATTTTAAATATGTACAAACTTCAAGTTCATATGAGTGACTTTCGTTTGAAGAGGCATATTAAAATGTGAGATAATATTCATAATTGAAAATTTCTCCAAGTTATCGAAAGTTGAGACAGCAAGTTGGTTGCTAACCCATTGAGCATGTCCTAAACCCTTCGGAAAATAATTTGCGGGGCATTAATCTTACAACTGAAAAATAATTAGCATATGAATTTAGTAATCGTTTAGAATTTTCCATTATTAATCAGCGGAAAAGGGTAATCCATTAAATTTCTTTTTTCCGTTGGTTGTTGACCTCAATATTCTAACTCAGGATGATGAAAATTCTCATCCGTAATTTGTCACTAGGGCCAATCTATTGAGATTAAAATTAAATTCCAAGTTGGCATACTTTCCAGAAAAAAGGCTAGAAAAAAGGTGATAGCCTTTTACTTTGGTATGATTTGGATGTAAGGGATAATGTAAGTTAAAATGTGATGAAAAAAGAAGCAGATCATAGCCATAATCTAAGATGTATTGGTTTTTGTGATCATAAGCTTGATTAAATTAGTTCATATGAAGCATGTTTCAATTCATCCATAAGTCTCAAATACAATTTCTTTATACATGTATCCTGTTGCCACATGAGCCTCATCATTAAACGGATATTGTGATACATCATGGTCTACTTTTGGTTAGGAGATGATTATAATTTTAATATTAGTTTTATATACTTTTTCCAGAAATAGCACTGTTTAAAAAAAAATTACAAAAATACCACTCAACCCCAAAAAATTCCAAAAATACCACCCTTTTTCGAAAACTGCCACCCCACCCTGCGGTTTACACGAAAACCGCTGGGTGGGGCGCGGTTTTCGACGAAAACCGCTAGGCTATGGGGAGGTTTTGAAAATCGCTGGGTGGGGCGGCGGTTTTGGTCCAATTTTTTTTTCGATCAACTCCTATCTTCGGCCGAAACTTCAAACGAACGTAACTTTGCACTCGGGTATCCGATCGTAGCGATTTTTTTGAATCTACATAACTTTTCGAGATCTAGCAAGCTGCAAATGCCATAGGCGGTTTGGTCCCGCCTTCGTCTCGAAAAAACGTCATTTGTTACCCCGAACGAGCCTTTTTTCGATTTCGTCAAACTTTGGACGGCCATAACTTTGTGCTCCAAAATCCGAACGTCATGAATTTTTTTTCCTTTTGCATGACTTTTTGAGATCTACAAGTTTTACTAGGACGAAACTTTCAAAACAGGAATTAGTTTTGGATATACGGGATCTTGGGAATAACTTTACCTTTACTTTTCACAAATCCATGTACATTTCGAAATTATGGTTATGTTAAAAATTGTAGTAATTGAAAAGTTATGCGGAATAAAAAAAATTATGACATTCGGATTTTGAAGCACAAATTATGGCCGTCCAAAGTTATTGAAGATTTTTAGCGTTCAAGGATTAAAACTTTGTTAATATATAGTTGTTTCAAAAGAGGAGTTGTAGTGTGGTGGTTTAGATGTTGGGCTGAATTTAGTTAACTATATTTAATGAATTTGGGTTCGAACCATCATTGCTACTTTTTTTAATCTCTTTACTAAATAAAAAGATTTAATTGGAATGATGTTGATTCAAATCTAGGACCTCTTGTACACAAGGAAACAACTAAACAAATTGCTACTTTTTTTAATCTCTTTACTAAATAAAAAGATATAATTGGAATTATGTTGATTCAAATCTAGGACCTCTTGTACACAAGGAAACAACTAAACAAATTGTGCCAAGACCACTTATGAGATTTATGTTGATAAAAAAATATATATATATACTGAAAA